AGACCCGGGCTATAAGGCTGTATTGTACATAATTCTGTTAATATGCTAAAACGAGTGATTTTGTGTGACTAAACCGATTTATCTATTTATTTCTTCATTCAGTACAAGCACTAGCCTATATACTTCCGGCTCTGATAAAAATAGTTAATTAGTTAGGAGTATAGCTTTCACGGTATGTCGTATGAAACATTTCCAAAAGCTTGTCTAGGATCCAGCGTCTTGGATGGACATGTAGACAGACTATGTAGACCTTTGAGGACACGGGACAGGAATAGGTCCAATGATTGAATATTTGCCAAGGTTCTCCAACGCTTGTACTACACCTAACCTACATGCGGCGACAAGGTCGAAAAGCTGTTTTCTTCTTCTCCTATACTTCTATCTCTAATATAGCTTTAACAGTCTACTATTGATTGGTCCCTATCTTCTCACAAACCAGAATTTGACCGTTCTTTACCTCACATATCCATCCATGTACTACGGGCCGATTCTTACAGGATCGAGGCAATCGGCAGCTTACAACTTTGAGCCAAACCTGCAAGTGCAGACAGTTTTGGGTTTATTTTTCCTCAGTCACGTCATGAAATCCTGACAATACCATTTCAAGAAATGATAGGAGGTCCCCATCTGGAAGAGAATCACGGATTGGACATGCGCAGCCATTGTTCCTCGAGCTAATACTCTCAGCATGAGAAGGCATGCATGTGTGACCATAATTACCTTGGGCTATTGGTTCATAGAAGCTTTCGAGTGTCATTGTTAGTTTTTATGAACGGTCTCAAATAAAACAGCTGGTCGTGCCGGCTTCACCCTGTTGAAGCCGTAGCTTGAGCTATTGCTTTTTCGTGAACTAACCTTACTTATATCCAATCTACATGTAGCTCCATATGTAGCAAAGGTGGCTACGGGTACGCTAGCCGTGAGGAATACATGTAAGTGACCCATCGTACAAATGGCGTTTGCAGTTACCTCAACTCAGATTGGGCGAAAACATTTAAGTCGGCGGTATGCAAAGAGCACGAGACCACATGATTCTGGCCTGTGGATCTAGACTAGGAGAAAATCATAATTATGCAGGGGTTCACATTCTTAAACGCGATGTCGGTGTCACTTGGCTTGGTAGCTGCACAGCGAAGTTTGTACCACTCTTGAATATGATATACGAATCTCTAGACTCAAGGAACACAGGATAGACTACCCAATTCGGCTTTAGAAATATATAGCCAGTGCTCGGTATTCGAACCGATGAATTTAACCATGAGGGCCATTGAGTACGAGCTTTATTCGAGTATTAATTTCATAGACTTATGATCGGTTTATTCCCAAAACCCATAAGATATATGTGCCTGGGATGTGAAATGCCATTTCGTATAGAACTTTTAATCCGCAGAACCGCACTTTGATGATTTGACCTATTTGGGTTCGCGCTCGATAAAAGTTTTGAATACGATCATAGATACAGGGCCAATTTAAATGTATACGAGCACACCATCCCTTCTCTTAGTTAAATTCACGAGAGTAGACTATGTGCATCTCTATCTAACCTGCATGATAAGTGTGTGGTGCATCGATATCGTCATATCTCAATGATACGGCATCGTCTAGTACAACATCCATCGGCATAATCTTACATGGTAACCAGTGAAACAACCCGAAACTGAATATCTACCGAATCATTGCAGTCGATTCTCACTTTTGTAAAAGGCCATCGATGGCCGATTTCTCGATGCCGACAGCTTGGGGAGCGACAAGCGGAAATTGCCGAGCCTTACAAATTCAGACCAGGACGTACGTTTTTATCGAGTTGGATATCAAAGTGACCGCCGACGGCCCGTACTCGCATAATTCTTACCATTAAAAGTACTTACATGTAGAGTACCTTCGCCCTATCGCACGTGTAAACCCCCCACGTGTAGGTACAGATTCCATAAAGCCGCTAATCTTGCTCCTACGATGTGCGTAGGTACATGCAGGTGATGAGCTGCTTCAATTCTCACAGCCTTCGTATCTGACTTCTAGTCGATTTAAAGCGTGTTTCTCAAGAATTGCTGCCATTTAATTTTTCCGTCTATTTTTTCAATCTAATTTGATCATGTCCTGCCAGTACTTATGGCACGCACGCTATTTATGAGATGTTAGATGGTTTAATCGACTAAAATCCCTAGTGCGGGTAGCTCCACGCTTCCCCGCATTCGTTTGTGAAACATCCTCCCCGCTCCCCTGGTTCACTCGTCAGCCCTTTTCCTCGTTAACTCAACCCCGCACTCTTTAGATCGTTGTGATGCCGGTAAATTCTCGTTCTCAGATCCCCTAAGTTTTCCACGATTCCATTTAGAGAAACAATAAATTTTGTTGTGTTGTTGCGACATTCGGCAGAATTGTTTCTGCATACATGTAGTGAGCGTACCGCTTTAATTCCACCCAACGCCAAAGCAACAGCAGAGACCTACTAGAATTTTATATTATGATTTACACCAGTGCTCTCTCTTAAAACGAAAGCATCTCGTGTATGATCGGATATATATCCGATCCGGTGTCTTGATGGGTAAAGACATGGAGGTGCAAATTTTTTCGCCAAAATAGAGATGCAACCATGCCTTTGCGCCAAGATCGAGTGATATCCCATGAAAGCATTTCCAGTCATTGCGAATCGTTCAAAAACTCCAAAATGATCTCCCACTCTGATTGGTGAAGGAGGAGGCTTGAAGTCTCTCATAAAATGAATTTTGACGGAGGAATGTGACCAAAATAGCGTGCTCCGGGAGTGTAACCAATGAACACTGCTAGGAAATTCTTACAATACGTAGAGTACGCACCCTTGTTCTTACGATGGCGATGTAGGGTCTCTGAGACCATCACATCCATTTCTGCCGATCTAAATGCACATAGAGTACTTTAGGAGGAATTGAGCTGAAGAAATTGTCAGTTGGCGTACGAGGACTTGATTCTTTCTTTGCCGTGTTGCACAGCATTCTTTGAAAGAATTGAAGCCTGTAGATCAACTTTTTTTTCTTCTTTCGCTTATTTCCTGGCGCCAGCCACAAGATTTTTTTTTTTTGATTTTTTTGCTTCCGGTCCCGTTCCCGCTCATGGTGGAAGCGATACCGCTGGCTTATATAGCGGGCCAAGCCTAGGTCATCAACTTGGAGGCGGCGCGTTAAAACGGTGGCTTCGGGTCAATGAGGCGGGGCTCAACTTCATTGTTGTCCATACTGGAACGCGGGGTTCTCTCAATTGAGATTATTATGATACAAATTGCCGCGGAGAAGTCATTTTTGAAAGTGCCTATAAACTCGTTAGTATGTAGGCACGGCCGAAGAACATTTCTTCCGCGAGAAGTTTGTGCTAGTGGCCTCTGCGTTGTTCTCTTTGGTCAGGGTGACATGATATGATCCGGTTGGTACTGAGGCTAAATAATTACCAAGCGTCTAGAGAATTGCTTCAAAATAGAGGCAAAACAAAGACCATGAATTTGGATATCCGTGACTCATAATTTCCTGTCGGATGAAAAACTGATACGCCGATTATTTGCAACACATAGCAATTACAGTGCGGGGTGAGGGTTGAGGGTGCAATAGGGCCAATAGCGAGATAGTCTTAGGAATCCAACCAACCGAGTTCTCCCGAAATAAAAGACTGATACCTTCCGTAGCGTTTTTGTACCATGGGTGGGGAGTTATTCTTCATATTTGTTTTTTTCTTCCAAATGATGCAGATGTAGAGCGGGAACGATGGTAGCGGCCACCTAAGGCCCTAGGTAGGTCGGATTGGGCCAGCTGCCAGTACCCGGATCGTTTTGAAGATTTTCAGGGTGTACAGCTTCTGCACCTTCAGTTGGGCATTGAATCACGTCCTTCATCATTCTGCAGTATGTTGAGCATCGTGAGAGGGATCGTTGTACCTAGATAGAAGGTACCTGCGGCTCTGAAGAGCCCGCAGTGGGGCTCACGGCTGGAGGGGAGAACAGCTCCAAGAATGCAGGCCCGAGGTTACACAAAGTCGCCGCACCTTAAACAACTGACCAAAGGGGTTGCTCTAAAGTCGGAAAGGGTCCACTAGAGATCTCGCAAATGAAACGCCCGTGATTGGATGAAAGGGCGTGGGGTGGATACTGTGTGCACGGTTCTCACAACACCAAGCAAACGATTATCGTCCTATGTAACTGTACATACAGCGGGCACTTGTAGGTACATTTCCCCGCTTTGATATTGAGGGTTGTTTGTCCTTGTTTTCACGTGTGCAAGATGTGTTCACAATCGAACCCAATCACAAAATTTTCACCCTCCACAGGTTATTTTCCTCAATTATTTAAAGCTGGCATACTTCCTTAGTCCTGTAGACCTTTTGGTCCTTTTGCCTCGTTTCTTGTATTTCTCTACTGTCCTAAGTCAAGAGGTTTTTCCCGCCTTTGTACTTGATATTTTCCCGAGCGTGTCTCCCCTCACGGAAAAGAGAAAGAGAAAGCTATCGGAAGAAAACGTCATTTTTTCTGGAGACTCTAACTGTTTGGGTTCCCTGACTCAGTGCTTTGATAGCCGCTTATCTTGCCTTGTTGCTAATAATTCTGACGTTATCTCGCAGTCCCACCATTGATTCCCCACTACACCCTCCAGAAGTGAAGCTGCTTGAAGCTCCCTTCCTCAACACCCCCCTCCTTGAATCCTATTTGCTGTTAAATCTGCACTACGGTAAATACCCCCTGCTAAGATTGGGTGTGCACACCAACCCCACTCCTGTTCCATGGAAATATAGATATACCACCGCTTTTCCAGGTCTCTGTTTCAAAGTCCCACACAAAGTTTGTTCTTGCGGGTGTTGGAATTGCGATAGCCCTTGAAAAGAAGCTCTTAACGCTCTACCATTAACTAACGTACAATCTACCATAGACGAATTAGGACCGTTTTCATTCAAAAAAATCAATTTGTGGTCAATCAGTAAGGTTCCACAGGTGAGAGTTATTCACTGTGGTATTTGACCAACTCGCCGAGCCGAGCCGAAGAATGGCCCCATCCTACGAGTCCGAATACGAAATCATTGAAGAGGAGCCTACAAATATCTTTGACTACCAGGACACACCCGAGAACCAGTCATGGGCTGGTACTTTACCACTCAAACAGGGTCTTTACGACCCTGAATTGGAGAAGGACGCTTGCGGTGTAGGTTTTGCTGCGTAGGTTCCCTCTCTAAATTTAAGATAAACCTCCGCTTACCATTCTTCCAGTCACATCAAGGGTGTTGCTAGTCATAAAATTCTAAGTGATGCACGAAGCCTATTGTGCAACATGACCCATCGAGGTGCTGTTGGTTCCGATGCCAGAGACGGTGATGGAGCTGGTGTCATGACCTCTATCCCCCATAAGTTCTTTGTGAAGGAGTTTACTGGGGCCACGGGCTTTGTGTTACCCCCACAAGGCCAGTACGCTGTTGGTAACTTGTTTTTCAAACCAGATGAAGATGTCCTAGTTCGAAGCAAGGCAAAATTTGAGAAAGTTGCGGAGCAATATGGTCTTCGTGTTCTAGGATGGAGAGATGTACCTCGTGACAGCACTCTTCTTGGGCCAGCTGCTTTGTCTCGGGAGCCCAAGATTCTTCAACCTTTTGTCGTACTCAAAAGCTCTTATGGTGAGGGAAAGGAGCCGGCAAATACAGATTCAAGTTTCGATGAGAAATACTTCGAACGACAACTATATGTGCTACGAAAAGTTGGGACCAAAGAGATCGGGCTTCATAATTGGTTCTACATTTGCTCTCTGAGCAACAAAAACATCGTTTACAAAGGTCAATTAGCACCGGTTCAAGTGTACACCTACTACCACGACCTTGTAAACGTTGACTTTGCGGTTCACTTTGCACTGGTTCATTCTCGTTTCTCCACAAACACGTTCCCCAGTTGGGATCGCGCTCAACCGTTGAGATGGGCTGCACACAATGGTAAGGGTTTCCAGTGTTCAAACAAGTTCGATCAGTTATTAATTCGGCATTAGGTGAAATCAACACATTGAGAGGTAACAAGAACTGGATGCATGCGCGTGAAGGACGAATGCGCTCAGAGTTCTTCGGTGAAGATCTCGAGAAACTTTATCCAATCATCGAAGTAGGAGGATCTGATTCCGCAGCTTTTGATAACGTACTTGAATTATTGGTTATCAACGGTGTTCTTTCCTTGCCAGAAGCTGTCATGATGTTGGTTCCCGAAGCTTGGCAAGACAATGAAGAGATGGATCCAAAGAAAGCTGCTTTCTACGAGTGGGCGGCTTGTTTGATGGAGCCTTGGGATGGCCCAGCTTTGTTCACATTTGCAGATGGAAGATACTGTGGTGCCACATTGGATCGAAACGGCCTGCGGCCATGTAGATTCTATGTAACTGATGATGATCGCATTATCTGTGCATCCGAAGTTGGTACTATTTTGATTGAACCGGAACGCATTGTTCAGAAGGGTAGATTGCAGCCTGGGAGAATGCTTTTAGTTGATACCGTTGAGGGACGCATTGTTGATGATAAGGAGTTGAAGATGCAAGTCTCTTCTCGTTTCGATTTCACAACCTGGACACAAGAGCAATTGATTACCCTTCCAAAGGTCCAAGAGAGCTTGATGAGCTCTGGTGTAGTACTTGACCCTGAATTGGACGATATCAGCATTCAGAATGATAAAAGATTGCTCGCGTTCGGATACACATTCGAGCAGGTCGGCTTGATTCTGGGGCCGATGGTAAGTGACGATACCTTAATTTTTGAATGAAAATTTTCTAAATGAATACAAACTGCATAGGCTGCCGACTCGAAAGAAGCTCTAGGATCCATGGGTAATGATGGCCCACTGGCTTGCTTAGCAAACCAACCCCGTCTTTTGTACGAGTATTTCCGTCAGCTTTTCGCCCAAGTCACAAACCCTCCTATCGATCCCATTCGCGAGGCTGTTGTCATGTCTCTTGAATGCTATGTCGGACCACAAGGCAATCTTCTTGAAATTGATCCTTCTCAATGCCATCGTCTCCTGGTTCCTTCCCCAGTTCTCTCTCTCCAGGAGTTCAATGCCTTGCATAACATCCAGGAGTATCATAAAGATTGGACAGTTCAGACGATCGATATCACATTCCCCAAGAGCAAGGGAATGTCTGGTTATATCAAGGCCATCGATGAAATCTGCAACCAAGCAAATGAGGCTGTCAAAGCAGGCTACAAGATATTGGTCCTCTCTGATCGTAACGCATCGGCCGACCGTGTTGCAGTATCTGCTCTTCTTGCAACTGGAGGTGTTCACCATCATCTTATCCGCAATAAGGTACGCTCGAAGATTGCTTTGATCATCGAGACCGCCGAAGCTAGAGAGGTTCATCATCTTTGTGTACTTCTGGGATACGGTGCCGACGCTATTTGCCCATACCTTGCATTGGAATGTATTCTCAAGATGAACCGCGAAAAATTGATCAGAGGGGGCCTTTCAGATGAAAGAATAGTCGAAAATTACAAACACTCGTGTGATGGAGGTATCTTGAAGGTCATGAGTAAGATGGGTATTTCTACTTTGCAGAGCTACAAGGGTGCTCAGATCTTCGAGGCGCTGGGTGTGGATAATTCTGTCGTCGATAAGTGCTTCACAGGAACAGCAACACGTATTAAGGGAATTACATTCGAATATATCGCCCAAGACGCATTCGCTTTCCACGAGCTGGGATACCCAAGCCGTTCAATTGTCTCTCTCCCTGGCCTTCCGGAATCAGGAGAATATCATTGGCGTGATGGTGGTGAAGCTCATGTTAACGACCCTGTCAGTATTGCCAACATCCAAGATGCAGTGCGCACGAAAAACGACAAATCATATGAAGCCTACTCTCTTTCAGAATATGAGCAAATTAAGAATTGTACCCTACGAGGAATGTTGGACTTCAATTTCGAAAAGTCTAAGCCAGTCCCGATCGATCAAGTAGAACCATGGACCGAAATTGTTCGTCGGTTCTGTACCGGTGCTATGTCTTACGGATCAATCTCCATGGAATCTCACTCGACCCTTGCTATTGCAATGAACAGACTCGGCGGTAAATCAAACACTGGCGAAGGTGGTGAAGATCCTGAACGAAGTAATGTCATGGAAAATGGCGACACCATGAGGTCGGCCATCAAGCAGGTCGCTTCTGGGCGTTTTGGTGTCACTTCTCACTACTTGGCCGATTCCGATGAGCTTCAAATCAAAATGGCCCAAGGAGCGAAGCCTGGAGAGGGAGGCGAGCTTCCTGGTCACAAAGTCTCACAATCGATTGCACGTACCAGACATTCAACTCCAGGTGTTGGGTTGATTTCTCCTCCTCCACATCACGACATTTATTCCATCGAGGATCTGAAACAGCTCATCTATGACCTGAAATGCGCTAACCCCAGAGCCCGCGTTTCAGTCAAACTTGTCTCCGAAACCGGCGTTGGTATCGTTGCATCAGGTGTGGCTAAGGCCAAGGCTGACCACATTCTCATCTCAGGACATGACGGTGGTACTGGTGCCTCTAGGTGGACTGGTATCAAATATGCTGGACTACCATGGGAGCTTGGCTTGGCCGAAACTCATCAAACACTCGTGTTGAATGATTTGCGTGGTCGTGTAATTGTGCAAACAGATGGTCAATTACGCACAGGTCGTGATGTTGCTATCGCCTGTTTACTAGGTGCCGAAGAATGGGGATTTGCGACTACACCTCTAATTGCGATGGGATGTATCATGATGAGAAGTTTGTAGTCCTTTTTTTTTTATTTTTCTTTCTTTCTAATATGGTACTGACGTTTGCTTATCTAGAATGCCATTTGAATACTTGTCCGGTTGGTATTGCCACACAAGACCCAGAGTTGCGGAAGAAATTCACAGGAACTCCTGAGCACGTCATCAACTTCTTCTATTATGTCGCCAACGAGCTCCGAGCCATCATGGCGAGGTTAGGATTCAGGACTATCAACGAGATGATTGGTCATTCCGAGAAACTATACGTGCGCAAGGATCTTATGACTGAGAAGACCAAGAACATTGATTTGTCCTTGATTCTGACTCCCGCTCACACTCTCCGTCCCAATGTTGCAACTTACAACGTTCGAAAGCAAGACCACAGATTGCATGTGCGCCTCGACAACAAGCTGATTGATGAATCAGAGTATACCCTTGACAGGGGAGTTCCAACTCGCATCGAGTCAGATATTGTCAACACCGATCGTGCTCTTGGAGCGACGTTATCATACAGAATCAGTAGGCTGAAGGGTGAAGCCGGTTTGGAGCCAGATTCGGTACATGTAAACCTAAAGGGGTCTGCGGGTCAGTCATTTGGCGCTTTCCTGGCACCAGGAGTAACATTGGAGCTTGAAGGAGACGCCAATGATTATGTTGGAAAGGGACTGTCTGGTGGCAGAGTCGTCATCTACCCACCGAGAAACGCCTCATACAAAGCAGAGGAGAACATAATCGTTGGAAATGTGTGCCTTTATGGTGCCACTTCAGGTCAAGTGTTCTTCCGTGGTGTCGCCGCAGAACGTTTTGCCGTTAGAAACTCAGGTGCCACTGCTGTAGTTGAGGGTGTTGGTGATCATGGTTGTGAGTATATGACTGGAGGAAGGGTTCTTATTTTGGGTGAAACCGGCCGCAACTTTGCTGCTGGTATGTCGGGTGGTATTGCCTATGTTTTGGACATGAAACAGGATTTCCGCTCGAAGGTGAACATGGAGATGGTTGAGCTATCAGACATCACTGATCCCTACGAAATCTCTTACGTCCGCGGTCTTGTTGAGGATCACTATCAATACACAGGCTCCGAGCTTGCCAAGAGGGTTCTTTTGGACTTTAGAAGAGCGCTTCCTCGATTTGTTAGAGTCCTTCCTACTGATTATAAAAGAGTTCTTGAAGAGGAGGCCCTCAAAGCAGCAACGGCAAGATCATCTCACACGCTCTCTCTACTTCCTGGGAACCCAGCTCGTGAGCAGCAAGAAAAGTTACTGGCGAAGGCAAAGGCCAAAGAAGCGGAGGCCAAACACAAGCATGAAGCGTCTATGACCGATCTTGAAGACAGCATAACAGACACCAAAGCGGAGAAAAAGAAGTCTGCGCTCGTTCTTAACAAAACGAAGGGTTTTATGCTATATGCTCGTCGTAGTGAGAAGTATCGAAACCCGAAGACTCGAACCAAGGACTGGGCAGAACTCTCCAAACGTCTTGACGAGGACGAACTCAAATACCAATCTGCACGTTGTATGGATTGTGGTGTTCCTTTCTGTCAGAGCGATACTGGTTGCCCTATCTCAAATATTATTCCAAAGGTTACTCCCTCACTTAGAGTTCATCTGCTAGCAGTTGGCTAACTTATTACAGTGGAACGAACTTGTTTTCCAAAACCAGTGGAAGAATGCGTTGTACAAGTTACTTCAAACAAATAACTTCCCCGAATTTACAGGACGTGTTTGCCCCGCTCCTTGTGAGGGTGCTTGTGTCCTCGGAATCAATGAGGATCCAGTCGGCATCAAGAGTATTGAGTGTGCAATCATCGATCGTGGTTTCGAGATGGGCTGGATGGTTCCCACTCCTCCGAGCATCCGTACTGGGAAGAAAGTTGCTATCATTGGATCTGGACCTGCTGGTTTGGCTGCCGCTGATCAACTCAATAAGGCTGGCCATTCCGTTACAGTCTATGAACGTGCGGACCGCCTTGGTGGTTTGCTAATGTCCGTATATCCTACGCTCTTTCCTGGTTTACTTGACTAAAAATAAATTATAGGTATGGAATCCCAAACATGAAGTTAGACAAGTCTATCGTTCAGCGCAGAACCGATTTCATGGCATCAGAAGGCATCAAATTCGTTACAGGTGTTCACGTCGGCCAAGATATCACAATGGCCGAGATTCAATCAGGAAACGATGCCACCATACTTGCTACTGGCGCCACGGTTCCTAGAGATCTCCCTATCCCCAATCGCAATCTAGAGGGTATTCACTTTGCCATGACTTTTCTACATGCCAACACAAAGTCTCTACTTGATACCGAGCACAAAGACGGCGAGTATATCTCGGCGAAAGACAAGGATGTCATTGTCATTGGTGGTGGTGATACTGGAAACGATTGCATTGGTACCTCTGTTCGCCATGGAGCCAAATCTGTGGTCAACTTCGAGCTGCTTCCTCAGCCACCAAACGAAAGAGCCCGTGATAATCCATGGCCCCAGTGGCCTAAGGTTTACAGGATTGACTACGGTCACTCTGAGGTCAAGGCTCAATATGGAAAGGATCCGCGTGAGTACTGTGTTATGAGCAAGGAGTTTGTTAGCGATGGAAAGGGCCATGTCAAGGGTATCAATACTGTCCGTGTTGAGTGGACTAGAAGCGCTCGAGGTGGTTGGGATATGAAGAAGGTTGAGGGCTCAGAGAAGTTCTTCCCAGCAGATCTTGTACTCCTGTCCATGGGATTCTTGGGGCCTGAAGATCGGGCCTTGGGCGATATCGAAAGAGATCCTAGGAAGAACGTCAAGACTCCTCCTGGAGGTTATTCAACTTCAGAGGAAGGTCTCTTTGCAGCTGGAGATTGCCGCAGAGGGCAAAGTTTGATCGTCTGGTAAGTCAAACCGCTCGAAACTTTTAAATATGCCATACTAATAGAATATAGGGGTATCAACGAGGGAAGGCAATGTGCTCGTGAGGTCGACCAATATCTCATGGACTCTACACAACTTCCTGTCACCGGAGGAATTGTACTCAGAAACCCATATCCTGTAGAAATCCTCGAGCGAGCGGAAACGGCACCCTTACAAACCATTGCAATCGCTGCTGCTAGCTAAATCTTCACAAGACAAAGGCAAGAAGAGGATGGAGCTCAAATTTTGTTTTCTTACAATTTTTCTTGGGTGATAACGGGTCATTTTATTTTTCTTTCTTATTGTTGATTATCGAAGGGTGGTTGAGTCAGGGGAATTTAAAAAAAAGGGGGGGATAAAAATCAGTGTATTGTTTTTTCTTTGGGAAAGGAAGGGTACGGGGTTTTATACATAGTTTCTTTCGGTTGTTTGAGTTCAATTGTTAAGTCTTTTCCATATGGTTTCGCATTCTTTTTCCCCTTCTGTTTGCCCGCTAAAGTTATATATTTCTCTTGTTCCCCTTTTATTTATTTTATATGTATGTGTGAAAATCCACAAATTTTCCTGATTGAAAGAATTAGACTATTTACATTTGAATCTGCATGAAATATCACTCGGTGCCTATTTTTCGGACCTGTGCTTTAAGGTCGACTCGAGCCCTTAACTCGTGACAGCACACTGTTATGCATACTGGCTCTTATTTAAAACTATGAGGCATGCTCACCTCTTTTCTCGCACAGTTGGGAATGGTGAGCGGAGCTCTATCTGTACCATGTCCTGATTGTTGAGGGGAAATGATATCTAGCTCGCCTGGGCTGGGCTTGGCAAATATGATTTAATCTAATCTTGATTTTAATAACCAGGGTTAGGTTTTCGGTAGCACAAACCTGAGTTCGAGAATGTGACAACCGTATGATAGCTTGAAAACGGGCTGGTATCGGTGGGCGAGTGATAGCGGATGTGAGAGTAAGGTAGAGTTGATGGGGGTGATGACCGGATAGTAGCCTGCAGGACACCTCTTCGTCATATTTCCATCTTAGAAAACAACTGGATATATCATATGTTGCTCTCCAAGCTTTCAACCTTCAACTCCTTCCCTTCCGTCAAATAGGTCTCCGTTGTCTCTTTCTGTCCGCCTGTAGTTATCGCGGCACTATCAATGATCGTGATAGAGGCTGGCTTTCGTAGTGACTTTACCATATCAAGCCCTCGCCCGCAAAACTGCCAAGATCCAAAGCCTCCCCGCGCACGCCCAACAGATGAAGACCGGACAGGAACAACTCTGTTGAAGATTCTAGACGCAGAGGGCTCTCGTTCTCTGTGGATTGACGAAGGCAGCAAGATAGATCACAGACTGTCACTCGCCCCATTCTTGTTCTCGTAGCTACCCCACTCACCATTACTAGACGTGCAGATCTTCCTTACTGCATTATTACGCATGTATCATTATTCCTATCAATCAAACGGGAAAAGAAGAAAAAAAAAACTAGTAGTAAAAACCGACCCAATATCGTACATTCCGCCGTCCACTAAGAAAAGAAATCTTTAAAAAACACAAAAAAGTTAAGAGTTAAAAAAAAGGTATCCCCATCACCGACCACTAACCACTAGTTATCCGTCTTCAGAATGGTCTCCACCATGTCGTTCAACGGCCCATAAAAGTCCTTTCCGGACTCGAGATCAAACTCCTTGATGAAGAGCACATAGTGCTTGAAGCTCGTGTTCATGTGGGGGTCGAGCCCCAGCGCCACAATGACCGGGTAGTGGTGGCAGTATATGTGCGCATAGACGCGGAAGAGGCGCTTGACGAGCTGGCGCACGGTGGTTTGGAAGCTCTTGGGGAAGTGGACGCCTGTTTAAATTAGTACATAGCAAGGAGGAGAGAGGGAGCGAGGTGGCAAGGGGGCTGGTAGTACCTATCCTGGAGGGAAAGACAGCCTCGTTGTTGATATAGTCTTGTACCCACGCCATGAGGTGCTCGATATACTCCGGCGCCGGCATCTTTGTCGGCTTCCTGAACTTGCCCGAGTCCTGCCAGAGGTACTCAAACCTACACCACAGCACACCCTATCAGCACCACCCTAGCAACTACAACAAACAACCGCCACAAGGAAAAGGGGGGGGAGCTCATACTCGTCCGTAGCTTTCATCTCCGGACACGTCGTCGGCGAACAGAACTCGGTGATAGATCCATACAGGAGGTTGATCTGGTTATAAAGTCGACGACTACACCTCCGTTAGCCCTCTTCGTCCCCCTCCCCTGTTTCCCCTTCCTCACTACTAACCGTTGACAGCAAGCCACTCGTCGATATCCTCCCCTTCCGGGAGCTTCACAACCTTCCTCAAGCTTCCCGAACCGAGTGTCTGCTCGGCATACTGTCTGAGCTGGTAGGAGCTGGAGCCGCGGCTGGAGGATTTGGGCTTGAAGGGTGCACGGGTCTTCTGGTTTCTTCCGCCGGCGGGATTGCTGCATGGATCGATATTAATGTGAGTTTCCTAGGTAAGGAAGGTGGGGGGAGGAGGGGGGCGGAGATGGAGATGGGAGGACAAACACTGTATTGTTATTCATGAATGATGATGCCATATAAATGACAGGGTCTGTATAGCTAGGCTTTTCTTCTTTCTTGGCTGCTGCTTGTGCTGGCTGGAGATGAGAGCTATCTGTTGTGGGGAGGTGGGGATGCTCAGCGGGGTGACGTGAAGCGGGTAGATAACACGAGCGAGGATCACCAGGGAAACCGTGGAGGGGGCTTGTTTATCCATGCGAGTCTACGGGGGATACGCGAATCACAACACATCACACTCCGGAATGGCTTGGCATTGAGCTAGGTGTATGAACAGTTTGTTTGGACATCGAGCTGAGGCACAGGTCACTTGTATGGTATGCAGGCAGGCGTAAGGGTTTCTTCGTATCCATCCAGGGATAACTGCAGGCATAAACATTGAAGCATTTAGAGTACAGGACTGAGGAAAATGCGAGAGAACAACCAGCTCAAAAGTAAGTTTATAGATACCATAGGAATAAAGAAACTAAAATTCCAGGACACTCCAAATCCCCACTCCCCTTCAATATTTCCCATAGCTACTCTACCGCGACATAGATCATTAACAACACGCTCTTTCATCATCATCTTCGGAAATCTCATTTTTTTTTATAAGAAAGAGAAAAGAAAAACACTTCATGAAAAAAGAAAGAAAATTTAAACGCCTAGTGTACTCAGCGACAGCCTTCGAAGCCTTCAATCCTGCACAGCAAGAATGGGAGTTATCTAAACACACGGATTAGATAGGAAACCCCTAAGCCGCCAAGGAGGATAGCTCTCTTGCCCTGCGTGCAATGGCTGGGATCCTGCGGAGGATTGGGTCCGCCATGTTCTGCTCCGCAGTGCTCATGTACAACTGCTCGAGTCTCTGAACGACAACGGCCATAATCCTGTGGCAAATCTCATGGATCTCGGGGTCCTGGATAATAACATTAACCTCAGTTCCTAGAATTATGTGCAGCTACAGGGGCGAGTAATTACCATAGGGTCAAGAACAGCCAAAACACCTTCAAGCCAGCTCAACCTTTCAAAGACCTTGTTTTCGAATTTTACGCTGACTGCGGCAGAAACGGACAGCAGCACAAGTTGACTTAAATTTGGTAGGAAGTCATATCTGTACCTCACAACCACTTCGTCGAAAAGTTCTGCTTGGCGCTCCTTAGATTGAAGCCACTATAGAAGGTTCTGGTTAGCTTATGCTCAGGGTTTAATCTTGGAGGCTGGTCTATATATTTACCTTGATTGTCCCCTCCTCGTACTTTCCGTTCCTAAGCAGATTTTCGATCTCTTGAGCTTCCAGCTCTTCAGGCGAAAGTTGTGGTGGCGGTGGGGTAGGAACCCTAGCATGAGCGTGAACATCTTGCTCGCCATTTGTCCCTCCTTCATATGCTTGGACATACTCCGCCTGAGCCCTCTGAACCTGCTCCTGAAATTCGTTCTGGGATTTCGCCATGGCTTGGATATTATCCGACATTGTCTTGACCACGTCTACAAGCCCCATGAGCTGATCGATTTTCTGGGAATCCTGCTGATGAATGCGTTCCATGTTTGCGATCATCTCGTGGTGCTTTCGTTCCTGTTCCTTGATAATATTTTGGGCTCCTTCGATGGCAATTTGCTGGAATGCCGGAATGATGGCTGTCTGCATGGATCGGGACAGCTCGTTCTCGACCGCCTTGCTGAGAGGCTTTGCAATAGTCTCCGCAAGCCTAGCAAGGAACTCGGGCTGGGAAAGGGTCCTTCTGAGAACATCTGGAATCACGGCATGTAATTCAGCTGGTACGGCATTGCCCACAGACCTAGTGAGACTTTCTCCAAGTCTTCTATCAATAGCCTGAGATGTAACATCCGCAATAGCAGGCAGAACAGTTCCTTGAATGTTGTTCATGACAATTCTGCCAATCACTTGCTCAACGTTTTCAGTAAGAGTGCTAGAAAGGAGCCTGAGGATAGCATCCTGCTTCGCATCACCGGCAGCTTGTTGAACCCGCTTATCCTCATCAAAACGGCGGTCTAGGAAATATTAGCATAACCACCCCATAAAACAATAGTCATAAACTTACAGAGGGTTTCCAATTCTCTACTCATCACCTTCGAGAATTCAGAAGAAACTGTCTTCTCGATCTTTTTGATCTCACGATCTAAAAATGCGGATGAAACAGCAAGGTTTTCGTTTTCGCCAGGTGGCGGGCTCCTCACAGATGTCGAGACATTCCTCGAGACATCACCCGAAGCTGCGCCAGACGGGCCACCCGCGTTACCCTTGTCCTTTCTCTTCTTCTTTACACTTCCATTGATTACAGGAGGCTTCTCCTCAGCAGTGCCAGGCGCCTTAGGGCTCAACACAGGGCTGACAGCCTCTGATTTTGGCAGTGGCACGTCCGCAGCGACGTTTTCAGGCACAGATGGCACAGACTTCAATCCCTGGGCTGCTGGAGGCTCGGTAGGTTCAACCTTCTCAGGCTCGGTCCCCTTCTCACTCTTACTATCTTTTTCAGAGGTCGACTTCTCGCTGTGCTCTGGAGGTGGCGGCGCCGGAAGGGCAGAAAGAGAACAGATACCGGCCTTAACTGCATCAACAGAGTTTTTGACGCTGTTTTTAGTGTCCCACCCAAGATCCTCCCTGAAAACGCTCAAAGTAGTCATTCCTTTACTGTGTGC